CAGTTGGGGGTGAGCAGGCTGGCACGGGGGGCAATTGGGGGGAATCAGGCCGGCAAGGGGGGGCAGTTGGGAGCTATCAGGCTGGCAGGCAGAGTGATTAGGGGTGATCAGGCAGGCAGGCAGGTGAGCAGTTAGGAGCCAGTGGTCCCGTTATTGTGAGAGGGATCCCAGATTGGAGAGGGTGCAGGCCGGGCTGAGGGACAGAGGGCCCCCCCCCCCGCCCCTGTGCATGAATTTTGTGCACTAGGCCACTAGTTATATTATAAGTCTCTGGATCTTATTTTAGCCTCTGTTTTACCTGGCTTCCTCTGATACCTCTCTCTCTGGTAGGGGAAGGAAAGGTGGCATCTCATTACTGCCAGGTAGGTGTAGAAGTCCAGGTTCCCAAACTGCTTCCATTGACACCCAGCTGGTGTATGTGTGTGTGTGTGTGTGTGTGTGTTTGTGTGTGTGTGTATGTCCTCTGTGTGAGCACGCTCATTACTGCTGGCCAGCAGTTGGAGTTACAGCTCTCCACTAGACCTCCACTGATATTTACCTGGCTGAGAGGAGTAGGCGTAGGAGTGCCTTGATTGCCCTCACATAGCTCCCACTGATATCATGGGGATAGGGTGGCCTATTTGTGTTTCATAGTAGTGAAGTTTCTGACTCACAACTAGGCCTTCTCTGATATAACCCAGCAGAGAGGGAGAGGGTGATATTATGACTTCTGCAAGTCCAGGCTCCGCCTGTGGTGTCCACTGACACTGTAGGGGGCTTGGTTGGTTACTGCCTGGAAGGGATGAAAATCTCAGGTCTGAATCTGCAAGATATCAGAACAGCGGTTGTCAACCTGTGGGTCGCGACCCCTTTGGCGGTCAAACGACTCTTTTACAGGGGTCGCCTAAGACCATCCTGCATATCAGATATTTACATTACGATTCATAACAGTAGCAACATTACAGTTATGAAGTAGTAACGAAAATAATTTTATGGTTGGGTCACAACATGAGGAACTGTATGTAAAGGGCCAGAAGGTTGAGAACCACTGTATTAGAGCATCTTGGTTCAGTTTGGCAAGGTTGGAAATGCACTCTTTGTTTCTATGGATTTGCCTATTCTGGACTTTTCATATCAGTGGAGTCTGTGGCATTTTTAATCTAGTTTCTTTCACTTAGCATAATGTTTTCAATGTTGTTGCATATATCAGTACTTCATTTCTTCTTATTGCCAAATAATATTCCATTCCATAGATGTGCCACATTTTATTTCTCTGTCAGTAATGGACATTTGTATTGATTCTTCTGTGGTTGTTATAAGTAATGCTGCTATAAACATTCATATTCAGGTTCTGTGTGGGCATGTTTTCAATTCTCTTGGGTATACATACCTAGAAGTGGGATTGCTAGGTCCTGTGGTAACTGTGTGTTTAACATTTTGAGAACTCCGTTTCTTTTCTGTTATTCATTTTTCTCTTACTGTGTTGTGATGTTAGGAAAAGGTTGTGAGGTATTTTGTAGTTTCTTTTGGGTTCTTAGAAAGAACTGTCCCCAGACTTTAGATTTATTTATTCTCTTTTTCTTACATCTGTACTCTTTTCATTAAAATTATGGGTGCTTATAATTAAGTTATTCAACAGATAAGTTAGATGAGTATTAAAGTGCTTTAAGCCATTATTTATTTTGAAACATTATGAATGTATAATTATTCATAGCCATGACTTTTATATTAATAAATTTTTCTGTGCTTTTAATTACTTAGAAAAAAGAAAGTGAGTGTCTGCAATTAAATATTTTGGTGCTTCGAAATGAACTGGAAAGACAAAAGAAAGCTCTGGGACGGGAGATGGCATTACTGCATAAGCAACAAATTGCATTACAGGACAAAGGTAAGTAAAAACACCTTGCAGATTGTCTAACTCCCACATTTACATTTTTCTTTCTTCATAGGCTCAAATAGTTATCTTTGTGTAAATATGCTGATATAACTTAAAATTTTTTTGAAGATTCATACAGAAAAATATACAAATGTACGCACACACACTATACTTCAAAGTGAAAATACCTATGTAAGCTAAATCTTCATCAGGAAACTGCATCTGAAGACCTCAGAACCTCAGAAGCTTCCTGATGCTCCCTCCATTCCGTACATCTCAGCCATACTAACTGCCACCTTGACTTGCTAGACCAAACATTGATTTTGCCTAATTTCAAACTTTATACAAATAGAATCACATAATATGTACATTTTATCTACTGGCTTTACTTCAACATTTGTTTGTAAAATTCATTTCTACCTGCATGTAATATAGTCTTTTTCTTACTGTCAGTAGTATCCTATTGTATGAATATGAATTTATTCTTGCTTTTGGCATTTTAGTAATTTCTAGGTTAGGACTATTACAGATATTACTTTCATGAATGTTATAGTACATGTTTCTTAATGAAGGTTTTTTTGTTTTTGTTTTTGTTTGTTTTTGCATTTCTGTTGGATATAAACCTAGGAGCAAGCTTTCTGAAGTGGTTGTGACAGTTTATCCCCTTTCAATCCAGCAGTATACTGTCCTATATCCTTGTCTCTTGTTCTATATCCTTGTCAGCATTTGGTACTCTCTGTCTTTTGTATTTTAGCCTTCCTGGTGGATATGTTGTAGTATCTCCTCTCAGTTTTAATTTTTATTTCCCTGCAGACTAATGAACTTGAACATTATTTCATATGTTTCTTGCTGATTGGGATTCACTTGTTTGTAAAGTACCTGTTGAAGCCTTTTGCCCATTTTTTTTGGCGGCGGGCGGGGGGGGGGGTTGGGTTTGACAATTTTTTCCATAGGAGTTCTTGATATATAATGGATATGGGTTCTTTGTTTGAAATATGCATTGAACATATATTCTTTCATTCTGTGGCTTGCTAGTTCATTTTTTAATGATACCTTTACATGAACTAAAGTTCCATTTTATCAGTCTTTTTTATTTTTTTAACTTAAGGCTTTTTTGTGATCAATATAGGAAGTATTTGCCTACTTGAATGTCACAAAGATCTTTCTCTGTGTTTTCTCTTAAGTGATTTACTTTTGTACTTTTTACATGTATATCTATAATTCATCAGGGATTGATTTTTTGTGTATGATTAAGGTAAGAGTCAAGATTCTTTTTTTTTTCATATAGTCAGTTGACCTATCACCATTTATTGAAAACCGTCTGTTCTCCATTGCACTGCAGTTTCACTTTTATCATAAACCAGGTGACCATATACTGGCATGTCTGGTGCATTGACCTATTTTCCTATTTTTTTGCCATCATCTCAGTGTTTTAATTTCTCTCAAGTTATAATTGATCTTGCTATCAAAGTTCTTCCGCTTAGTTGTTCTTCAAGATCACCTTCTTTATTCTTGTCCTTTTGCATTTTCATATGAATGTCTGCACAGAAAAGAAAATCTTGCTAGGATTTTCCATAGGACTACAGTGGGGCCTTGACTTACGAGTGTCCCGACTAACGAGTTTTTTGAGATACCAGCTGTCTCTCGGCCTATTTTTTGCATTGAGTTGACAGAGTAATTTGAGTTAACGAGCTCCTTAACGAGCTCGGTCTCGGAAGAAATTAAACTCGTAAGTCAAGGCCCCACTGTACATTTAATGTATTTATCAATACAATTGGGGGATTATAGATGATTTACAATGAGTCTTCGAAAACCAGAAAAGGGTATATGCCTTTATTAGATCTTCTTTGTAAAACACTGAAATTAACTAACTTTGGTATATGGATGTTTCCCATGATTTATTGAACTTCCTTTTTTTTGATGTTTTTTGATACTATTGTAAACATCTTTAAATTTTATTTTCTACTTGTTGCTGAAATTTAGAAATAAAACTGATTTTTTCAATGGTAATGATTTTTATTATATATGCAAAGAAAAATTCCCCAAAAGTCTTAGGGACAAATTAACAGTTGCTAATGTTAGGGTAATGGCCCTGCAGCTGCAGCACTCACTCTGGTTATTTATATATTTACATTGTAAGTCAATTATATTTATACTTAAATCTAGTATTTAATGAATCTTGAGCCAAGTTAAAATATTTTAAAAGCAATTGAGTCCCTGATATTGATAACATGAAGGAGAAACATGTATTTTTCACTTGCTTTTGCAGCATTGATGTAGTGTGTTTGCTAGCCAGTAGTGAAATGGTTTGCTAATATGAATATTACTATTAACTTCTTACATATAAGACTGCTCTTTGGCACTTGATGCTTATCTAGGCACTTGGTTCTTAGCCCAAGAGCTCAGTGAGGATACCAAGTCAGTAACATATGATATTTAATCTTTGCTACTGATTTTTCTGAATGACCATAAAGGAATTACTTAACTACTGCATCTTTATACACATCTGTGCAGTAAGGATAGCAGCTCGTAACAGTGCCATAGGGATTAATTTGTGTAAACATTTGGAAGAAACCAGGTGCCTGATATGTATTTTATGTTTTTGTTTATAAAATTCATTTCAGCAGGATGATTTATTGGAAAGAACAAAAAAGATAATTTTTACCCATGCTGCCGAGTGGCCACATTACTCTGAGGGGCCTTGTTACTCCGTACCCATAAGTTTCTCATTCCCGTACCTCAAAGGCAATGGCTCACAACTTGTGGTCTACAGCGACTTCCAGCTGGGTCATGAGCTGAACTTTTCAATATTAATGTTTATTAATGTATATATTTTCATTTCTGGCAGATATTAGTAGTTTAACTTATGACATTTAATAAAAAACAGATTTCCCCTCATTAGTGTCCCAAGCTGGATAACCTTTACATTAAATAATTATATGTTGGTTTACAGGGTCTTTTGCCCTAACGTAACCCCCAAATCTTTGGGAAGCAGCAACACTTTATCTAAATTAGTTTGCTTGAAATTTGGTTTAGAAAATGGTATGAAACATTGATCTTGAGGAAATGTGTTTAGTAGAACCTAAATACATTTTATAAATGTTGATAAAATTCAAGAACTGAGGACAGAGGTGCCTGGGGAGTGATATTAACTTTTCAAATCCAGCATTCCCTGATCTTTATAGAAAGAAGCTACTTTTTAATGCAATTAATTTCTTGATAGTAACAATAATATATGTAGTTCTTTATACTTAGAAAGTGCTTGTACAAAAGTTACCATATTTGATCCTTAAAGCAATCCTGAAAGCTAAGTGTGGCAAATATTGTTACTTTCATTTATATATGAGATTCTGAGATGGTAAGTGACTTGGCCAGCTACAGACAGACAGTTGGAAACCAAGTTGAGATGTTGTGTCCCCAAATTCTGTGCTTTTCTCACTGTTCCATACTACCTAAAGCCTTGCAGAATACATGTATTTGAATCCTACATAAGTCCTATGAAACAGATAACTTTTATCAAGATCCTGTAATATGCCAGATATTTCACTTACAGGATATCATTTCATTCTTAAGACAGTCCTAGGGACCATAACTTTTACCTTTTTTTCCTGGGGTAAAGAACTGGGACTCAGAGACATTTCCTAAGGTCACACAAATAAATAACAGGTCCAAATTCAGATTTAGATTTCTTTGATTCCAAAGTTTATCTTGTTTCTACTCAGCATAATATCATTATTCCTTTCTCTAGTATGTGTCAAGCAAATAAACTGACTGATGGTTTGCTAGTTTTCCATTTGGCCTGTGGACTAACAGGTGGAGAACTTTATTCTGTTGTGTTCCTTTTTATTACAGGGTGGGTGAAATGAGTTTCCCAATGATTTCTTTGATTTGGTCGGATCTTAATCAAGAGATTGGAATTAAAGATCTGCTGTTCTCTCAGTTTGTCTTTAGCTAAGTCTTTCAACTTTTTTGGACATATTTCCTTTTTACAAACAAATCAAACAGAAATTTGAAATAAATAGTCAAGATTTCTTACAGCTCTGAGATTCTACTTGTCTCAGGAGGATAGGGGCAGAAAAGATGGGGATTTGTTCACCTGTTTTATGAATTTCTAGTTTTCAAAGTAAGATTCTCTGGCCCAAGTATGTCTATAGATGGCATTTGTTCACTAGAAAGCCATTTGATGGACCCACCTCTTGGAATTTTGTAACTAGCTATATTCAACTTCTATTTTACAGATTCTTTAATTCGTTTTGGTAAGCAAGCACAAAAACAAATACATTGTTTTAGTGACATTGTGTGTAAAAGATATAAGATTTCATTGCTCAGATTTGGAGAAAGCAGTTCTTCTTGGCAATTCCAGTGAATGAAAAGTTTAGATTTTTTTTTTATCACCAAAATAAGAAATGTTTTATATTACTTTCCTAGCACTTATGATTTCTTTTTGTCATTTTATAATAAAGTTTAGTAATTAAGGTGAACTATATATCTAGTTTGTTCTATTTAATTAGATTTTGACTTGGTCAACAGCTTAGTCTGTTCTTTTAGCCTGCATCTCAAATAAAAGAAGACTCATATAGTATATTTAAATCGGTACTTAAATTTTCTGTCAAAGGTCCCCTAGATTGTTATTTGAAGTTGTAAAGATATTTTATTAAGTATTATGTAATAGTTTTCTTCTTTTATGTCATAAGGTCACAAATTGAAAAATTACACCTCACAAATTTTATAATTCAAGATATATTTATTTGAAATGATGGCAAAATTTAAATTTTATTAGTCTCTGTGTGTGTTCTGATGTTTTTAGAGCCATCTGACAGAAATTCCTAAATAGACTTCCTTAAAAATTATTAATATCTGCCTTTCAAAAATTTTTGAACCTGGGGACAATTTTCTCCTGGAATTTATGCTATTAAAGTTTCTTTACTTTCGGCTATTGGTATTGAATGCAGCTTGTGAAAGGCAGTAAAAGCCAGACAACTTGGTGGTTGTGAGAATAAATGTGGGTTCTA